ACGCCCACCTGCAGTGGGTTTGAAGGTCTATAAACTCTAAAGAACTTTATGAGGCTGCGCTACAGTGGTCCTTGAAACGATCTATGCGATCCCCCTCTGCGAACAGTCGGACCGATCTTGGCAGTGTCTGTGCGCTTGCACATCTTGCGACAGGGACGGCAAGCCAACTGCAACCTGGCCACGCCGAGGGAGACGGCGAGGATGAAGCGCGTGCGCCGACCCATCTGCCCGGTGCCACCTGCGTCGGACCATTTCGGACCCACTTCGGGGCGTTGGTCTAGGGCAGCATCAAGGGCTAGTAGTTACCCCCTCGCAAAGTAGGAAGGCGGGAGCGGGTCTGTCGGCGGCCAAGTCACCCACGATGTTGATGCCCGAGACGAGCACGTTGGCAAAGAGGAAGGTGGTCATGCCACCCAGCACAGCATCGGGAATGGAGGCGATGGCGGCTCCGAACTTCCTGGCTGGTTCAAGTCGCTACTGCAGCAGGTGAGGCAGCAGGATAAAGCATTGCAGGATCACGCAGCACAGCATGAGCATGGGAGATGTTTGCATGCTGCGCCGAGTCTCTCGAAGCAGCCCAGCAGGATGAGCCACAAGCAGCAGGCGATGCCCGCGGCCCGGGAAGCGCAGCGCGTGATGGCGATCACGCCGTTGTTCTGGGAGAAGGTCGTGTTGGGCGGGCCTCTAGCAAGGACGGAAAGCGACAGCCCCATGAGTTACATATTGTACGTTGAATTACCCACCATTTCCCCTGCAGCTTTGGCGTCCGAGATGCAAGTCATCAAGCAGGCCAGGAAGCTGTTCACGCCGTCGGCAAGCAGGCCGCCCTGGATACGGGAGTCGGCATCTGGGCCCTCGATGGGCAGGCCACTGACATCGCACGAGGCCTGCAAAGCATGGCAGCGCGTGGCAAGGTGTGGCATAGGCACTGCCTTCGCCTGGCCTGAATGTCACCGACCGTCTCCACCGCCGTGATCACGAAGCCCAGCAGCAGAGGGATGAAAGCTGGAGGGTAGAAGCCGATGTTGAAGGTGGTGGTCCTGCTTGCATTGGCAAGCAAGGGACT